AATTTGTGACATTCTGATGTGCAGCCAGTTAGGCAGGATAAAGCAGAGGGGGATTAGTCTGTTGGAACTTCCTGCACTAAATAGTGGAATCATTTCCACAAAGCAGCATGTATTTCCCTCGATTGTTCACTTTTCCTTCAACTTTGTGTAAGATAGAAATGTTCTGTAGAATATAATAGCTATCATATGGTATGATCAGTTCAGTTTGGCAGCATTTATGAGTTCTGACTTTGTGATTTCAGGTCTACGTGAGGGCTGACAACGCCAAAGTATGGAAAACACCCTCCCAAAAAGGATGTAAGTTCAGTTTGCTTCCCGCCCTATCCATGTGGAAATGTTCAGTCCCTAGCATGTTAAAATCGTGATCCTGAATTCAAATTTTAACAATTATAATCCCCAGAGTGTCACCTTGCTCATCAGTCATCAAAAGTTGGGATTTCTCAACAATTCTTGCTAATCCTTGTGAATCTATGTGTTACATATAATTTGCATCTAGATAAAATAAATATTTAGTCTAAGTTCTAATTGCATGGATTTCTAATTGCAGCATACTGTTTTCATATTTCTCACACAGATAACACAATGAGCCGATGAATGAATTTGGAAGCTACACTTGGGCCTTTGTCTACACACAGTGAGGATTACTGCACTGTATCATGCCTGAAAAGATAGAAGCCCGTAACTGTTTCCAAGTTAAGAAAAATGTTGGAGAAAAGGCTCAAGTGGAGGGAAGCTTACATGCCAGAATGTAAACTACATTTTTTTGTTCTGGCATATATTCCTCAAGTTGTTTTGATCTCTGAATCCTTCTATTAAATGCCCATTTGATGGTGAAGCTACTACCGATACAACTAGAAAGATTTGGTCTATCCAAATGACATGTACTACTATACTGTATTGTACATTCCATAGGCTGTAGAATTGGTTCTGGATGCAAAAAAATGATATTTGATTATTAACTTCTGTCATGTTTGAGTGTGATGGCATATTGTAAGTACTATGCTGATGGCTGAAACTTCAATTGAGCATTACAACTTCTACAAATATGTCTGATTTATTCCAACTTCTACATGAAGATTGCACTAAAGTATAGAGCGGCATAAAGGTCAAACAAAGAGTTCAATGTCCACGGAATATTTTGGCATGGAACACATGAGCTTGTTTCCCACAAAGAAGGCATTAGTCCCATGAGGAATTTCTCTGAATCCTGATATAACAATTTGGTTATAGTACTGTCAATGTTTTCTGTACAGGGTGAAGTTTAGTGAATGAGCTGCTCAATATAAATTAAAAGGATTAGTCCTCTCATCATTTTGTCGGGCTAGCTTGGATGTACATGTAGATGAATTAAAAAATTAAACGTTTCAGTAGGTGTTTGAAAACATAGTGGAGTAAAGGGATAGCATTTACTGTTACGTCTTGTGTGGGCGATGGGCGTTGACATGTTGACCTGTCGGGCTACCATCCCTGTGCAAATTTAGGCATTACTACTGTTTCCAGCATTTGCAGAAGAATTTAGGTGAATTTAGGTGGACATCAGCATAAGAGAACTATGTTCGTACCGAGCATGTCCAGACTAAAGGGACGTATAACAATTGCATATATTGTTTTTATTAATTACACAATAAAATGGTGCCGGACAGCGGAAAGGAATCCGTGCTTTTATTAGGTATAAGCATTGGTAAGCTGGCATCGTAGAACCGAATTTTGAACTACATGTGTTTTTTCGTTTTGATCCACACGAGAAGGCTCTGATAAATCGTATTCAAGCGAGGAGGTCAGCTTGGATACCTGGCTTGTACCATGGAGCCTAGCTGGGTTCGTGTAGAGTTTAAGGGTCAGGAAACTATGAGACATTTAAGAAACACAAATCAGATGATTGACATGGCATGGAGAAATACAAAGCGCACAGCCTAATCCTAATTAAGTAACACCAACATACCTTTCTTTTTAGGATTAACAGCAGGATACCTTTTTTAGGACTTTTAGGATTAACAACAGCATACCCTATTTTAGATTAGCACCAGCACACCTTCAGAAAGTTATAGGCAGTCAATCTGAAATATATTATGAGTAAGAAGAGCCTGCTGAATTTAGTGTATGCATGGCACTGAAATTTGGAAACCATATGTAATATCCTATTTAAGTAACACCAGCATATCTTCTTTTTTTTAGGATTAACAACAACATACCCTTTTTTAGATTAGCACCAGCACACTTTCAGAAAGTTATAGGCAGCCAATCTAAAATGTATTGTTGATAAGAAGGGGTTGTTGAAATGTATATGTAACAATAGTGTCATAATTAGATGTAGAAAGGGAAAATCGAGGAATCGGTATAATTTATATTAGAATCTACTCTGCATCGTACTGAAATCCGTACAAATCATATATAAAAACTGAAGCAAATAATCTGAAAAACATCATATTCACATGAGAGCCCTAGAAGTTGCTGGGATAGAATCTAATTTGCATCATTCTGAATCCCGCTTACTGGTATTAAGTAAGTAAGCACAATTGAGAAAAGTATCATAAACTCGTATAATTTGTATCATCAATATAGGAAGAGGTTCTCGTAACTGTGAACCCAATCTAAGACAACTCATATAGGAAGAGGTTGGCAGAAGGTAAAATGCCACGGTAGATGATATAGTGCACAACCTATGAAAGTTATGTGGGATGCACAGAAGCTAACACCAGCAGGAATCACATGAACTGAACAACAACTGTTATTAACAGTAAACATTTTACCAGAGAAATGAAGTCGTGATGCGACTGTAATCATGGAAGGACTAAGCAAGAAACCTAATACATGAAGCATTATGTAAAAGTTAGAATATGCACCCAGAAATTATGGCGGTAAGTTAAATATTTGTAAATTGGGAGATGTGAGTGGAATCTAAGGCCGCATAAATTTCTTATAGCCTATATTAAAATATAGTAAGGAACCTAATACAGTACGAATTATGTAAAGATAAACTGTGCAATACAAAATTATGACAGTAAATTAAATCCATACTGCACCTAGATAATTTACCTTGGCATGTTGTGACGGTATTGGATGATCACACTTTGCCATAACTGGATATGAAACCCTGAATAAGTACACCTCTGAAAATGAAGAAAAACCGTAAGCACTACGCCAAATTTAATTTGTTCAAGAACGTATAAAACTGAATTATGTGATCCTCGTTAGAGGACATGTATGTAGGCACGCCATATGCAAGCAATGATATTTCCAATAACGAATGAAAAGAACTAATTTAACTGTGATATATGTGTATCTTTTAACCTTAAAAGTAACCAAAATTATGGGATAGATCAAGGAAGGAGAACCGAGAAGCCCAACCTAGCACTGATCTTTTTTTTTTACGACTGTGGTAGCAGCTTGTACACACACATCATCTCCCTTTGGTCTTCTCCATCAGCAAATGAGCACATAGTAATTTAATGAAAAATAGAGGAAACTTGTGAAGAAGAGTGTACAACATGAGGGGAACTGGCAATACCTGGATCTGCTCGGGTTGGAGGCATCGTGGCCGCCGGTGGCAGGGTCGTCAGCTCCTGGGCTGCGTCGCTACGTCGCACGTGCTAACTAGTTGTTGGGTCACCTGTGCCTGGGCTGGGACGCTAGAGGTTGACGTGGCAGTCATCGAGCGCGCCGACAGCCGGGGTGCGCCGTTATGGTTTGCCCACCTCAGGCCTCCCGTGCTGGCGCGGCACAGCATCGGGCCGCCAGAACCGGGAGGAGGGAGCAGTGGAGCGAACCTGCTAGGAGAGGCGAAGCGCGTTAGCAAGTCGAGGCGGGCGGAGCTGCGGCTTCCCGGCGTCGTAGCGACCAGCGCCAACGTCGCAACCCTAGGGGGAGGGGTGCGGCGGCGCTGCTGCGGGGCCATGCAGCCGTGGCGTGCGGCGGCCGGAGGTCGCAGGAGGGGCTGCGCTCCGGCGGGGGGACGCCGCAGCCTTCGGAGGTCGCAGGGACGGTGGAGGACCTTGGTGCCGTCGCCATCTTTCTTGCTCTTTTTCTGTGGAGTCCGTCTTATTTTGTGTGGCCCTCGGTGCGCCACGCTTGAGGCATGGTGGCCTGGCCTGTGGGGTCTGGTGGGACCGGCAAAGGTGGGCAGGTTGGGCGTGGGGGCCTGGTGGTCGTGGCGGGCATCAGCTGGTAGCAGGTGAGATTGGACGGCTGGAACGAAAGAACTGTGGATGAATAGTGTTTTGGCTGGAGGAAACGGTGGGGACTGTTGATCTACATAGCAATTACCACGGATAAAGACTTTTATATATACCAGAACTTGTACGTGATGGTACGGAGATGGAGCAGAACTTATTTGTGAATTTATTAGCGCACAAAAAATAAATATTGGAGATTTATTCATGTCGATATAAAACATTATCTTAGCCGCGTCACGGAAAGATCTATACAGTAGAGTTTATGAGCCTACGATGCCGCGCGTGACTATATTAATTTCCCGAATTTTGTTTTTTTTAATTAAATGTTACTTTAATATTAATATTTAACTTTATATTATTATTATCTTATCGTATTATCCATATATTACTTTTAGTAAAAAAAAAATTAGCTGTCGCACGGGCACGAATCAAAAGAAAAGACGAGCCTAGAAGCCCAACCATCCAAAGCACCTTCCGGCTTTCGGTCATCAGTCGGCGGCGTCAGCTAGTACGTATGGGCTGACCTGTGGGCCGCGTACCATAAACACAATCAGTAGCCGGAGCCCGGAGACGGGCCCCTCCCCTCCGCCCGCGACCGCGCGAGCTGAACCCGACCCAGCAACCAGGCCACCGCACCTTTCCTCTCCGATCCGGATCTCCCCACCCGCTCCGGCGAGCCATCGCCGCGTCGCCTCCACGCGACCGACTACTTCCCATATATCTATCTATATCCGGCTTCCCCGCCGCCGCGCGCACCAAGGTTGCGTTCACCATATTACCTGTTTGCTTATCTGCTCCCGAACCCGCAAACCTTAGTCGCCGCCGCCCATGGACATAGAGACCGACGGGCGATTCGGCAACAAGCGAGTGCACCATCGCCTCGGCCCGGGCTCCGGCGGCGCTCCGTCATCTACCAACGGGAAGGTCTGCAACTACTGGCGCGCCGGGCGGTGCAACCGCTTCCCGTGCCCCTTCCTCCACAGCGAGCTCCCCGAGGCTGCGCCGCCCAAGCGCCCCACTGGACCCGGGGGGAACGTGTGGCGCAACCCCCACACCGGAGGAAGAGGCGGCTTCGGTCACAGTAGATGGGGGAAGGGCCCCGGAGGCGGCAGCGGGATTGCGAGCCACAAGCCGCCTGACAGGCCCTGCAAGTACTTTCTCGCCGGTACCGAATGCAGCTATGGCGAGAGGTGCCGCTATCCGCACAGCTTCTGCATAAGCGATAGTATCACGATGCTTACCCGGCTTAAGGGCCACGAGAAGGTAAAGTTTAATCTCCTGCCAATTTGCCCTCTGGTAAAAACAAGGAAGTTTTCTAACTGAGATGCATTGGATGCCTTCAGGGTGTTACAGGCATTGCACTGCCCGCTGGGTCAGACAAGCTGTATTCCGGAAGTAAGGATGGAACTGTTCGCATGTGGGATTGCCAAACTGGCCAGGTAGCTGAGATGCCATTAGATTGAATCTTCGAGAGTTTTGTATGTTCCTTGTGACAAAATTTCAGTACTTCTTTGCTGTTGGTGGTCTGTTAGTGTGCCGGTGTCATCCCTGTGGGTCGTGAGGTTGGGTGTATGATCATTGAAGGTCCGTGGTTATTTGTTGGAATGCCTGATGCAGTGAAGGTACGTAATACTTCAAATTTGTGCATTGCTCACTGTTTCTGAAGTTGAGGCAACTTAGCACTAGCTCATCAATGTGATAGGCTCAAGGCACGACTCTCCCGCCTATCATCTAATTGGACACTAGGCACCGCTGCTGCTCCCTTAGCTCTTTTTAAATTCTGATGAAGTTTATCACCATTGGTGTTCTGCATGCATGAATACGTAGTCTTTTCCTTCAGGTTTGGAATATGCAAACAGCAGCGGAAATGAGCCTTACCGGACCAACTGGGCAAGTCTATGCACTCGCCGTTGCCAGTGAGTTACTCTTTGCTGCAACACAAGTAAGCTTCCCGTATTTTGGGTTTACCTTTGTTTTGTCTTGAAACTTCAAATTCTTCATTTATTCAATTCTCTTTTCTTGTGCTTGGTGCAGGACGGGAGGATTTTAGCATGGAGATTTAGTGCCGCAACTAACTGTTTTGAACCAGCTGCTTCTCTTGATGGCCATAAGCTTGCTGTTGTTTCATTGATAGTAGGAGGCATGAGGCTTTATTCTGCTTCAATGGATAAAACTATCAGAGTATGCAAAGCTTGTTCACTCGCACTCATGCTCAGTCCTAAGATAGATTCCATTTACGAAGAAGTATATGTTGCGTCATGAGATTTTAAGTTCTTGTTGATGTTTGACTCCCTTGCTTTATGCCAACCTTCACTTAAAACCATAGTTATAAGTTTCTCTGTATTTAACTGGCGGATGTTGCTATTTAACAGTCATGTAGGATCATCTCTTGAATGTATGATTAGTATTTCAATCAACATAAATTCAGCAAAATATTGAAACTTAATGCAGGTCCAAATCTGGTCCTGATTAGGCACCCTCGTAGTCTCGTTATGTAGGTGGTACAGGCATGCATCATATAGTATCTGCTCTGCGGTTGACAATCCCTTGATTCCCATATAATAGCCAGTTTGCATGGACGTTTTGTGTTGATATTTCCAATTGGCTGCAGAACATTTGGAGCTAGTGTTTGAAAAAAAAAATGCACTATAGTACTGGATAATTTGATTACCAAAGGATACCTCTCAGTGCTGGGTCTGTGTGCTAGTGGATAGAAGATATGTACATGGTGGTGCATCTGAAAGTTAAATTTATTCCCAGTGCAATGAATGCTTGTTACTCCAGCGTTTTGGTGTCTTTGCTCTTTTGGAGAAAATGGGATGTCACTTGTTGTAATGTGCCTGAATTCTCAATTGAATTCCTTGTTCGTGATAGCTCTCAGATGTTATTTTATTACATTTTTCCATCAAGGCAACAGAAACATCCTTGTCTATCTTGTTAAGTCTCATTCTCGAAATATAATGACGAAGGTGTGAATTTCAGGTATGGAATTTGGCAACATTGCAGTGCATACAGACTCTTTCTGATCATACCGATGTTGTTATGTCTGTGCTGTGCTGGGATCAATTTCTATTATCTTGCTCTTTGGATCAAACAATAAAAGTTAGTCCCCACCTTCGCCATCATTTTGTTGAGTAATTTCATAAATTTATCTATCTATCCATATTAGGCAATTCCCTTGTCAAAGCTGTTCATGGCTCTAATATTTATTTTGGCGCAGGTTTGGGCAGCTACAGAGAGTGGAAATTTAGAAGTAACATATACGCACAAAGAAGATCAGGTACAAGACCGTACACTAGTACAGTGTTAATTGTCGCATGTCTATTGTGCTATTATAGTCTGTATTGTGACCCACTTTTCCAGTTAAAACTTGGGGCTAATTTGTCTACCTCCATTCCCCAGGGGATAATTTTTTAGGGGAAGGGGGGGCATGTTCCAGATTGTTTTTGGAAACATGTAAACCATCATAAAAGATCGAAATTCCTTTCATGTCACTAAAAAAATTCTTCTGCACAGAACAAGCAAGCGAGAAAGCTACTCTTCCTCCCTTGATTTCTCTCCTCTGAAGAACATTAGGCACTAGCTCTATCCGATTAAGTCCCAAGATCTCCCACATCTCGGACACAGCCGTGGGCCAGCTCTTGTGCACAGAGCACTGTGCGGCGGTGCAGGGGAAGGAGGTGCCAGCGGGATGCTGTGGGGGGCGGGGTGCCACTTGCTTCGTGCACAAGAAGCACACTCGCGGATCAGTGATGCGGAGATTATATTGTGTGCTGCTGTTTGTGCCGCAGCCGTTGGTATCCGCGGAGGACGTGCAGGGCAGCAGGGTACTCTACTCTGGCGCTGCAGTCGCCCGACAGCCGGCACCACGCCGGTGTCACAAAACTGCATCCTGGCACATCGAAGCGCTCATTGGTACTGAGGTGCGCTATGGTGGAGGGCTAGGGGAAGGGAAAGGGGTGCGTCCTCAGCGGCAAGCGTCGACGCCGGTGGGGATGCCGTGTTCGGGGCTTGCAGCGACAACGTGGCAGCAAAGGATGACAGCAGCAAGACCTGCCTCTCAACCGCCATGGCAGATGCGAGTCTAATTGCGGCCCGGCGCTCAGCATATGCGAGGCCGTCCTCGTCGTGGCCCATGTTGATTTGGTAGTCAAGAGGTGAAAGGGAAGGAGAGCACACATTAGGTGTCGGACTGCGGACCTACGGCTGCACAACCCGAGCATGAGGCGGAGCACAGGACCGGTGTTGGACAGGAGGCCTGCGGCTGCACGCACGGCAGAATGCGAGACAGGCGGCACTGCATCAAGGAACGCCGGCCTCCGACGCACAGTGGCCTATGTGCGTGGTGACGAACACACGAGTTGCTGAGGTGAAGGGCGTGAGACATGGCATACGGCAAGGTGCGTGCGATGCAAGCCCGAGGCAGAGCACGGGGCTGGCGGCACCATAGCAGGCTGCACTGACCGCTAGCGCTCAGCGCCTCAACGGGCCTGCATCAAGCGTGCGTTCCCTTTGCTCAGATTCTTTTACAGCTGTGTTCCAGTGACCTTGAGGCCTGTGTGGTGAATGAGAAAGAAGAGCTGGGTAGAGAGAAGGCAAAATAGACATTGTGGACTCCTGTTAGCCACTGTTTCTGCAAAATTAGATGGCAGTGATATACAGGGAATAAAAAATCAAAACGATGGCAGAATAGGCATGGCAACAAACTTTTTTTGTGGCAGATATAGGATATCAATCTTTTTTTAATGGCACATAAGGAATTGTATTGTTATTTTTTTAGTGTTAACCATCCAGGTGTAGTTATTGCCTTATGTAAGTTATGTTGAAACTTAAGCAATCCAAGAACTAGACTAGCGGTTCGATTGTGTCAATATATAATGATTTAGTTTTTTTTATCAGTAATGTATGTGCACTATTATTTAGCTAACATCTATGCTAGTACTTGTCACTGAGTAACTGGAGACTTGAACAGAAAAGCCTAGCCTAGCTGATTTCCATCTATTGATGGTAGGCAGCCGTGTGCAAGGAGCTTGGGCCTTTCGTACCCAGACATGCATGGAAAGACCTCTGGAATAAAATAATACGGCCGCAAGAAGCAGGTCCCCAGGGTCGGCGAGGCATGTTGGTCGGCTGGCTCTGGATCACACCTGTTTCCTTGTGTCAGTTGTTTTTTCCTCAGCTTGTGCTGACCTTGCCCAAGTGGGAGAGCCAAATCAGCTCAACTGGCTCAACGAGGATTTTCTTGGTAGCGCCAGCAAGCTTGCCTAGCAAAGCAAGCTCTTAGTACTCCTACCAAATATGTATCCTTCCCAGCAAGGTCAAGTAAGGCTAGGCAAGAGATCGAAACGTGCCCAAGAGGACAACAACAGGCCTTTATTTCAGTCATATTTGTAGTCACCCGAAAAAGTACACCCTAACTGGTAGAGAAGTACACAAGGTTAGAATTTGAGAGAAGAAACGTCAGCCTACTGGAAGCCTACAAACAGAAGGTTCTTGAGGTTACATTTCCCTTGCCCACTAGGCACTAAGCCCTTAAAATGCCTTAATCTTCCTAAGGGATAATTGAGAATGGTATTTCAAATTCTTAATGACCAACAGCCTCTAACTCCTTCAAGAATTCCCGGCTAACCACTTAGCTACTGCACTGCACTTTAAAACCAAGAACAGTTGCTATATCTGTACTGTTCTTTTTTCTTTCTGAACTTTTGAATTGAGAACTATTACTTCTGCCTGTACTCATTAGTCATTACTGTCCATGAGAATCTTTCATTTTGTCAGCGGTTTAGCATTTCTTTTCATTAAACATGGTTCATGATTGTTGCCAATTTATTCTGTAGCATGCAATTTTTTATTACCCTTTCTTATGTTTTGACGGTTATGCTAATGGTTATCTTCTGCCTTTAGGGTGCGCTTGCCCTCAGTGGTATGCCTGATGCACAGTCAAAACCTGTGCTATTGTGTTCATTAAATGACAACACTGTCCGCCTATATGATTTGCCATTGTAAGCAAGCTGCAATATTTTGATATTTTTCATGTATTTTATTTATAATGTCCAGGAGTGACTCTTGCTTGTTGTATAGGTTCAATGATAGAGGCAGACTATTCTCCAAACAAGAAATTAGGGCAATACAAATGGGTCCTGGTGGTTTATTTTTTACCGGGGATGGAAGTGGTGAGCTGAAGGTTTGGCAGTGGGTAGATGGAGCCCAAACCTAATGAACATAGTGTGCTAGATTAGTTTCTCTCATGTATTTTATGAGGGAGTTCTTACAAATACGCATAATGAGTTGAGGTTGTGGTTGGTGGCCCGTTCTTTTTGTAATATGCCCCACATTTGTCGCAAAGGATATGAGATTCAGTCGATCTGTGTGGCGGTGAAGCGAGAAGCAGAGTCTGTGTTATGGACTGTAGTTTTGTCCTGGAATGAATTTCAAGACAGGAGAATAATTGGTTGTAATATGTAAGGCACTGGAACCAGCAAGTCTGACGACTGCTTGGAGGTGCTGAGCTGCATTTGCAAATGAGTGGATCTTTTCAAAGCAGTACCATTTTTCATTGTTTGAGGACTATGGGTATCTTTCTTTTTGGAACTGTTGAACGATCATGTTTTTTCAAGCAGATCAGCCTCAGTTCATGTAATCCCATTGTCATTTGGCTCGGTGTGTGGCAGCAAGAGCATCACAGTATTTGGAAGCTCCACACGAAACTTGTGCCAGTATATATTTTTCTATTTTTGTGTTCGGATAGCTTCCAGGCTCTGCTATACTTTCTACTTCACGGTGAATCACGAGAAAATAATGTAGTCAATTGGAATTGTGTAGTACATGGGGCTGTACTGACTTGTTTCCATGCGTCGTTGGAGCAGAAACAGGTGCAACGGTTAAATCTGTATCTGTATGCTATTCTTTCCCCAGTTCATTTTTATTCTCAACACCAGACATGTTGCTATATGCCTATATATACTTGTTTTGATGATGTCATTATTTGCTACACTGGAATATTCCATTCCATGATCCGTTGCGGCGCAAAAAGTTGGGTTTGAGGCTTGGAGACATGCTGGTCGTGTGACTCGTGTTACCTTTTTATGGCCGTTGCTGGTACCATTGTTGTTTGTGATATGATACATTGATCTTGTCAGCCGATGAACAAGAACTCCTTCCGATCAAAAGTACACGATGATCGGAAGAAGTTATTGTGACCACAGAACATGTGATCGAAAGCAGCACTGCACATCCTAGGGCCACTGCAGGAGACCATGAGTCATGACAAATTCTACAGTGGCCCCGCGATATGCAGTGCTTCGAAAGGTTGGAAAAGGAGCATCACAGGATCGATGATACGCGACCCCGACGGTAACGACTGATAGGAAGCGTCGTCGTCATCGAGGAGCCCTCTGGCGCGGCCTTGGACGAGATGCACTGATGCAGATTGATGTGTAGTAGAGTGGATGGGATACTGAATAGCAACAGACACAAGAGACCTTGTCAACCTTTTCATGTTGAAGCCAGTGTTTTTCTCAACGCTAACCTGTATAGACAGTTGGCCACCTATTATTTTAGCTAAACGACAATTCAAATGAGCTAAATAGCTAATTAAACACTAAGATATACGGATAATTAAACGAAAATAGCGTATCACCGTGTAGCGTTTACCGTTTACCTGGTATTTAGATGGGCTGAGCGCCTGAGCGTGACCGACCATTTAGGTGAACAGGAACACATGAACGGTGAGACGATCGATGCTGCCATTAGCATAAGCACACTAGAGGGATTCTGAGCTGATGTGTGGTTGGAACGATCGAGCTGACGAGTGTGTCTATTCTTCCGACAGTTTCATCATCCACGATGACGACCTTCTGAAAGAAGAGATAATCGTCCGTTCGGTTAGTTTATAAGCCGTACTTTTTCAGCCAACGAACAATATTTTTCTCTCACAACAAATCAGCCAACAGTACTTTCAACCATTGCTTATCAGCCAAACGAACAGGACAAATATATTTCTTTTTGAAAAGCTAGCAGTGAGGTTCACCAAAAAAAAAAAAAAAAACGGGAAGAGCTAGCAGTGAGGGGGGAATATCCTTGGTACATCCCTTGCAGTCCTGTAGTACGCTCGCGCTTGTACTGTGGTAATATCTATAGGAGCCATCCGTTTAGCGGTTTAGGCTTTGGCCAGTATTTGCCCCATGTGCACCGATATGACGAGGATACGTCTACGTGGCAGTAGCCAACATGACGGAGGAATTTGGTTTATCTTTCATCGGCAGCTGCTTGTATTCTTTCGCAAGTTGCAGTGTTCTATAGCAAATGCAGTATACAGATTTCACACGCCAGGTATCGTAAGCAGGTACTGTAGCATGTTCGCCGCATCTTTGGATATTCTCTCTCTAAAAAATCGGCAACTTTCTTACTTGATTCATTTAATAAAGAACTAGTGATTTAGATTGAGAGGGTCATCGCAATTTGCAAGCGGTCTCATTCTCGTCTCTCAGATTGTACCACATTGCCATTAAGTCTTGAACGAAGCAAACCACATCATTAGTATTATTTGCATCACGTGTCCTGCTCAACAGCTCAAGGCATATGATATGGTGGCCAACCATCTCTGATGCTACTTTGCTATTTTATTTAGTTTATCATCTTTACTATAATGAACCAATTAAAATTATACTGGGTTTCCCCAAAAAAACATCCTCCGCTGAAAGCCTCCAACTATTATACATCCAAAAAAAATACACATAAAAATTCATCTCCGTTCAAATAAGGGCTAACACCAAAATCCATCAACGACCGATGTTCGATGTGTGATGGCAGGTTTCTCACCCGGCGCCCTACGTCCCACGCACGCGGGCTTCAAACGCGCCCCACGCGCGACTCCCCACGCTTCACACCACCGCCGCCAATGGACGCCTGTCTGCCCCACGCACGACTCTTCTCGATCTCTCCCCCACGCGCAATGCGCGCGACTCCTCTCCCAACGCGCGTTCCACTCCTCACGCGGTGCTACTACTCCTCTCCCGACGTCGGCCGCCTGGCCGCAGGCCGCAGGGAGCCAGGCATAGGCCGTCGGGCGCCGGCCGCCAGGCCGCCTGGGCTAGGGTTGTGCGGGGCTGCGGCGGCATAGAGCGCGTCTTCTCAGTGGAGGAGACCCCGAATCCCTACTGGGCCCCGCCGCACCCTCAATCGGCGGCCGCCGGCGCTGGCTCGCAATCCCCAACCCCGCGCCGCCGCTGATCCCGCTAGGATCAAGGCCCTCGCTCCCTCATCACGGGAACGGATGATCTCGTGAGCGCGAGATCCCCGCGACAGCCACCACGCGAGCGAGCACATCGCGGAGGTTGGCGACGTGACGGCCACGCCCTAGAGAGCAGCCGATCGATCGCATGCAGCGCATCCGTCTCCTGAGATCCCCATTGCTCCCATGGGTAGCGGCAAGGCGTCGTCCCCGCGAGGTGCCGCCGCTGCCGGCGGCAGCGGGTTGCAGCCGGGCGGCGCCGTCTGCTGCATGTGCGGTGACTGCGGTCTCCTGCCCGAGCTCTACACGTACGTGCATCCATCCACCCTCCGGTCTCTCTAATCATTTTTTATCTTATTAATGCGCGTCGTCGTCGCTCATGTCCGTACCTACGACTGATCCCTAATTATATCTGCACTTAGGAATAAACTCATCTAGGAGACTAGGACCAGGGATCAGAGGAGTTCGATACATATGATTCCCTTACTACTGTTTCAGTTGAGCGTCTAACAATTTCAGCACATTGAAGTGAAGAACAACCCCGATTGAGTAAGAAAGCATGCTCCAGAAATTTCTCTTATATTTCTCTGTGATGTGATTTTTCATGAAACACCCTATGAATAATTATCCTTTTAGTGTAATTAATTTTTTTAATGATGCAGCTCACTAAAATTCTTGGCGTCAACTAATATATAATTTTTATTTAAATGTTCTTGCAGGTATATTAGAAGGAATCAGTTAGATGCTGGGTTTCCCCTCTTTGAATAAAACTCTCTGAAATGGCCTGGATTTGTGCAGAAAATGTATGGTTAGTACTCTATGCAGTTGGAGTACATAAGTCCATTTAATTCCTAATGGGCCATGATTTGATTTTTCTGAAACTGAGAAGCTTTCATAGGAGTTGAACATTACAGGAATACATTTGTCTGATGGCTTTTCAAAAATAAAAAGAAATTGTCGAATGGGATAGCATGAGTGGTTGAGATATTGGAGCATTGTTCATTTATCATCTGTACTTTTGGTTCAAAACTTTGTTTGAGTTTAGGCTAGGCAAGATTCTTTCTTGTGATCCTTTGTTTACATAAGTTGAGAAGCAAAGTTAGAATTCAGGTGGAATGGGAAAGAGAAACTTAGGTTCCAAGAAGCTAGGTAATAAACACTTGCTCGATCACTCATGTCTGTTAGATTAAGGAGAAACTCAAGTACTTAATATGTAAAAATTTTACAACATATTCACTAATGTTAAAGGATTTAACAGACCATTTTTTAAATATAGTTAAATTAAGGAGAAACTTTGGTTTATAACCTGCATTGTCATATTATCTACAGTAGCTTACATTAGCTTAACCTAGCCAAATATGTAATTTCATAACGTTTGTTAGGTCCCCATTGCAACGCACGTGCATTCACCTATATAGTTGTTTTTGGAGCTTCTTGATGGCTTGTCTCAGTTACCAAGTTTCCTGAGACCTAACACTGATGGCTTGATGGCTTGTCTCAGTTCTTCCTGAGATTCATGTGTTGCAGCCTGTCGTGCTTGGGCCTTTTTTTGGCTGGTTCATGGTTTAGGGTCTCTTCTCTTTCTCAGTTTATTTGTGCATTTTTTGGTAGTTGATATCACGCTTCATAATTATTAATTATTCAAGTTCCAAGCTTGCAGGGCACTAGCAAAAAACATAATGGGCAAGTTACCTGTAAGTAGTTAACTGTTTTTATTTCTTTCAGTTAAACTGAAGAAATTTGAAGCAATTTTGTTTTCTTGGTTTGGATTTCAAAACCCACTATTTTTTTTACTTCAGACTGTTGTCAATGACAAATGCATTTGAGCACCTTTTTATAGTCGTTTCTTGACTAATAATTCTCTATATTGTTGCGTGACAGTTTTCTCCTGTTTAAATTGGACTATACTGGATTTAGAATTCTCATATTTGGATATGGCAAGGACTCAGTTC